CGCCGGCGCTTCGTGGGTCGTGGGTGTGGCCGTCGATGCATAGTTTTGCTGCGCCAGGAGCTCGGCGAGCTTCTCGCGCGAGTACTCGCCCGCGCCCGAGGTTGATGCGCGCTCGGTCTCGACCGGTGCGTCCACACGCGCAATCTTGCCTTTGCGAACGCGAAACTCGGGCGCATCTTCGTCATCCAGATCGATGGCGACGGCCCGCTTCTTGGTCGTGGTCGTGCCCAGCGGCTTCTTGTGCTTCTTCTGGAGGCGCAAGCGGATGGCCTCGACGCTGTCGTCTGCGCCAGCGTCCATCGCATCAGGCGCCGCCTCAGCTACTGGCGGCAGTTCGGCCACAGCCTCGTCATCGGCGTCAACCTGGCGCTTGCCTTGGGTCTTCTTGGCTCCCTTCCGGCTGCGGAACATCGTGCTGGCCCTGGCACGAGCTCAAGTTAGTTGCGTGCGATCAGACATCATGAAATAAATTCTCGCGTCGACATACAAAGACCAAGTGTTTCCAGATATTTTTTAATCGGGTGTTGCCTAGACCCGATGTCGCAAAAGGTCGATTCGTTGCTGCTTGCAGCCATTTAATTGCCCATTTTTAGCTCGAAGAGCTCAACTTGCTCTACCATTCTACTATCAATGCAATGCATGTACAATATATTGTACATTGTACTATCTCTCACGACAAAGCGTCGGCAACGATACTATAGAGACTTAGGGAATATACTTGTGGAGGTCCCAGCTCCGCGTCCTGTACGAAGGTCCATACAAGTGCGTCAAGTACGCATCGACGTTGACGGGGCAGCGGGCGCGGACCGACTCAAAGTTGCAGGGCATGAGCGGGTAGATCCAATCTCGCGGTACAGCAAAGTGCTTGGGCCGGCCTTCGCAGGCCACGCACTCGTGCCAGCAGCTTGACGCCACGGGACCAAGGAGCGCCGTGCCATTCTCGTCGAGCGACGGCAAGAAGACAAAGATATCGAGGTAGAGACCCGACGTCTTGTCGATGAACCGGCCGGGCAGCGCGGCGTCGCGCGTCCTCGTGGGATACAACGTGCTGTTGACGATCTCGAGCTTGTAGCGCTCGGGAAAAGCCAGTGGCGTCGCGCCAAGCGTCTCGAACGCCGCAACGCTCATGCCCACGTCGAGGTCCATGTCGTTCGGGTTGAGTGCGCCCGTGCGGATGGCGCCGAGGAGCGTCCCGCTGTCGAGCCAGTACTCGATGCCATGCGCCGTCAGCGTCGTCGTAAAGGTCTGTGCTAGTCCCCGCAGCATGCCGTCGATCTCGGCGTGGTCAAAGCACTCGTTGGGCCGCCGGTACTTGACTTCGCGGTGGCTATCGCGGATGAGGACGCACAGCTTGGTCGTCCAAATTGCATGGACGCAGGCGACTGCAATCGCAATGAGGAGGCAGCTGACGACACATAGCGCGATTTTCTCGCAGAGCGTGGCCTCGACGTCGAGCGGGTGCACCTGCGGCTTGGCGCGTGTGTAGCCGTCGACGATGTCGAGCAGCGCCGCGTCCTCACGCACGTCGTCGTCGTTCTCGTTGTCCAGGTCGTCGTCGCTGCGCCGTGGTCGCTGGATCATGCTGGCGGCTTGGTTTGCGGTTGGCCAATGGCCTTGCAGGATGGCGTCGATACTGAAATCAAGTCATTTCCAGTGTACTTTTTATTTCCACTTGCACCACTTTGCATTTGACACGGCAAGTTCAAAATGGCGATGACATCGTCCCGTCCACTTGGCGTCTCGCTGCGCTACTTCCACCACCTCGTCGAGGCCTGCGGCGGTCGCAAGAAGCTTGAGGGTCTCACTACAGCCCAAGTCTGCTTCAATCACGTCGTGCCAATGACCAAGTCCACCGAGCTGTCGCTCGTCGACCACCTCGCCAGCGATGCGACCACGCGCCATTTTGTGTCCGAGGCCAATTGGTATGTCTCGCACGCCTGGCAATATCTCTTCTTGGAGACCGTCGACAGCCTCGACACCTTCTTCGCCGACCAAGGCCTTGCTGACGAAGCGGTCGTTTGGTTTTGCGTCTTCAACAACAACCAGCACCTCGCGCACTCGTACCCGTTCGAGTACTGGTCGTCGACGTTCAAGACGCAGCTCGCAGCCATCGGCAACGTGGTCGTGATCATGCACCCGTGGAACGACCCGATCGTGCTCCGTCGGAGCTGGTGCGTCTTTGAGGTGTACGTGGCCGTCACGATGCAGGCGCGGTTCGAAATGGCCATGGCGCCTGGTCAATTGGAGCTCTTCATCCAAGATATGCTTCGCCCAACAGCGCTCGACGATATGCTGGGGACGATCAAGAGCGAGGCGTCCGAGACAACCGTTCCAAGTGATCGCGACGGTATCTTTGAGCTCATTCGCGCCGAGACATCGTTCACAGCCGTCGACCGACTCCTCTTTTCGACCATTTCGGACTGGATGAAGCGGACGCTGACGGCGCAGATCGCATCGGGCCTCTCGCCACTTGATACAGCCCACCGGTATCTCTGTCTTGCCAACATTTACGCCACCGAGGCCGATTTTCCCGCCGTCTTATCCGCTGCGGGCCAGGCCCGCCGCCTCTTCGAGTCAAGCGACGTGCGCGATGTCCACTACGCACACGCCATGGCACACGTGGGCTTGGCGTCTTCCGACGTCGGCGAGAACGAGACAGTGTGGCGTGCGATCTTTGAGAATCTCTTGGCCATGGACGGTCTCGAACCCGCGACCGTGTGTCATGTTCGCAACGCCTACGCCCGCGCACTTATCATCGCCAAGCATGCAGCAGAGGCCTATGACGTCTGCCGTGAGACGTACGCCTTGTCGCTTCTGCATCTTGGGCCCCTTCACACGTCGACGATTGCAACCATGTCGACCCTCGGCTTGTCCAGCTACGAGCTCTATGACTATGACCAAGCAACGGATTGGTTCCGCAAGTGCTTGGACGCGCGGCTCTCGATTTTCGGCACGGACCACCCGGGCACGGTCTACACGCGTGACTTCCTCGCCATGATCTGCTTCAACCGCGGCCAGCTCGTCGAGGCCAAGGCTCTCTTTCAAGAGACGAGCGATGTACAAGGGCGCATTTATGGCCCATCGAACAACAACACCACCACTGCATTGTTCAACCTCGGCATTGTGTACCGCTTGCTTGGCGACTACGCAGCGGCCGAGGCGCTCTGGCTGCCGATCTGGCGCCGATTTCAGACGAGCCCACCAAAGCCATCCTTTTACATCCACTTGCTCTTCCTGCTCGCGATGCTCTACTGGTCCAAGGGCGACTACGTCCTCGGGAAGCAGTACATGCTCGACACCTTGGCGTGGTGTCTGGAACATTTGCCACCGGGCGACGCCGACACGAGCCAAGGCGCCGCAGCGTTCTACCGGTTCCTCCTCGACCCAACCTTTGCGGCGCACAACCCCACAAGTGACGAGGCGTGGGCCAAGGTCGTCGCCTTCTTCGACCAGAACGAGCTCGAGTCTGATGTGTGGCAGGACGAAATCTGCTTTGGCTGCAGCCAGCCGATGCACGGTCTTTGGTTCGAGTGCGCCAAGTGCCCCGCCTGTGCCTATCATTTCTGCGCCAGCTGCTTGCGTCAAGGCAAGTCTTCGACGTTCTGCGACCACGACACCAGCAGCTTCAATTGCTATGTGCCACCGCGCCGGTACCTTCTCGAGCAAGCGCTGGTCACCCGTACCACCGATGAAGACGCTGCGACCTTGTGGTGCGACTACCAGACGTACTGCATTACGAACAAGGTCGCAGCCGACGAGCAAGCGCCCTTTGCCAGCTTCGAGCCTATCGCAACGCGCACCTGGCACCCGCTGCTTTAACTCGGTGCATCAATACAATCGTCAAGCCTTTCGACGAACCAATCTGTGTTGTTCGAACTAGCCAGGAGTTAGTATATAGCAAGTTCCAACTTCTGCGACTAGTAGTGAGGACTCCATCGTTCATCAGAGCCCATGGCTGAGCACCTTGGCGGGGTGCGACAAAAGTGGGTGTATCTAGACAACGAAATCAGAAAGAGTAAACGGAAGTCTTATAACACCCAACGGTTCCATCCTGCAATTTTTGCCGAGCACATGTACCGCCAGGCGCCGCCGCCAGCGGTCCAGGCGTTCCCACACGACGTCCATGGCGAGATGGCGCGGGTAGATGACGCCTACCATGTTCATCTTCGTCATCATGGGTATGTGCTAGATGCGGGAGGCGATCGCGCGCCTCACGCAGGAGAAGGGCCAAGCCGAGGAGATGGTCGGGCTCCTCAACATCAAGCTCGACGCGTACAACGAGGAGCTCTTTGACGCCAAGTCGAACGTCGCACTGATCGAGGCTGAAGCCAACTACCGCTGCCAGCAGAACGAGCTCGCGACTGCGCAAAAGGTCGCCAGCCTCACGTCCCAGGTCGCGTTCCTGCGCGAGCAGATTGCGACCTCGGAGCGCGCCCACACGCGTCTTCGCAAGGAACTCGAGAGCGTACGCATTCAAGTCTTCATCACGATTCTCATGCGCTCGCCTAGGCCCAGACGTCAATGCTTGTTGAGCAAAAGCGACTGGCGGCCGAGAAGAAGCTCCTCGAGACCAAGAAGCGCCAGCTCCACGAGATGAGCAGCTCCCAAGCAGTTCCATCGTCCCAGGTTGCTTCGCAGCGCCCGTTCTACCCGTCGCAGCAGCTGCGAACTCCGCCGCCCCGGCCGCAGTCGCCGGTGGTCGCACCACGATCCTCGGCCACGGTTGCGATGCAGACCGAGGCGATACCCACCACGAGTCTCAGCCAGGAGAATGCGGAGCTCGTCCACAATCTGCTTCAAGGCGCTGCGCTCCTGACGCTGCTCAACCACGTCTCGTCGTCGGGCCTCGATGGGCCCGAGGCAGAGACACTACCGCATCCCGACGCGCCTCGGGACTCGGAGTTTAGCCAGCTCATGCAGCCTTTCTCCCAGTGGTTCCCGCCGCCGCCGTCGCCGACCGTCGTCAAGCTAGCGCCTCTCGCGCTCGCCCAGCAGCTCTACACGACGCTGTCCCAGCTACTGGCGGGCGAAAGCACGAGCGTCCACTTGATTCCGCTCTTGACTGACTACTTGCTGGCCGATATTGTACGTGGATCTACTACGTTCTCGCATGGTCATTACGCGTCTGGCTAGGAACATTCGGTGCTCACAAGCGCATTGCAGGTCCTCTTTGGTCTTCTGCATGCCAGCACGCGCGTTCGGGCAGCGCTACGCGACCCACCAGGATTATCGACCCAATGCACCTCTCGCATCATGCTGCGTGGCAAGCCGCTGGCCCCGACAACATCCGAGGCCGCTCGTACCGACTTGGACATGTCGACGGTCCGAACCAAGTGCATGCACGCGCTCACGCGTGTTCTCAAGCACCACGTCCATCAGCCCGCTGTGCTGGAACATGGTCTTGGTACGTCGACGTCTCTTCGCAGGTGAGAGGTTGATGGTGCTTTCGTGCTTAGCGGTCGTATCACTCTGGATCCAAATTTCGCGGCAAGGTGCCGAGACGTTGCTGCCCGTGCTGCAGGACATTGTTGGAAGCCCCAAATCGACGAGCCACGTCCAAGTCCGCGCGCTGAGTCTGCTCATGCAGCTGCTCCAGACAGAAAGCCTCTTTCAGATCTGGCGCCGCCAGAAACAATGGCTGCCGCTGCTATTGCTCAAGAGCCCGGTCAAGCTCGGTGCGCTGCATGTGACCGTGCAGCTGGCTCTCCTTCAGTTTGTCGACTTTATCATCATGACGTATGGGCTCCCGGGGGCAACATGCATCCTGAGCCACCAGCCCGACGAAGCGTCGATCGTCCAGCCCATCGTTCGGCTCATGGAGACGGCCATTGGTCGCATACACGGTAGTACCTGCCTCGTCTCGTTTAGGGAGATTTCAAGTGGCGTCTGTATAGACGAAGCCGACGCGGCCATGCAGTTACAGCTGCTGCGCGCCGGCTTCCAGCTCATTAGTGCCTTGGAGCAGTACGTGGAGCTGAAAAGCCAAGTGCGGGAGCCCAAGCAGCAAGCTGCGCTCTATAACATTCTGCATTACGTCCAGCGCGAGCTGCCGCGGGATGCTGTGACGGCCATGGCGCTCATCAGCGTGCTCCAAACGCCTACCACCTCGTAGCCCACCACATTTGGCGTCGGCTCCAAGACTTTTATCTATGACACGGCAACGTCCTTTGCTCGTCCCCTCGATGTCTCTTGGTCTTGTGCAGAAGTGTCTTTGGCGTGGACCATGTCTGCTCTGAGGTTCGGGGGCTGGTTCGGGGCGTGGTTCTGTTGTCCCTGGGACAACGCACCGATTCGTTCAACTGGAGTGCTTAATCCCGAGTATAGAGTAATGTCTTGGATACATCAACCAACTTATGGACATATCGCAGTGTGATGTACAGACTGTACATTGTGTCATTGTCACCATTGCCCAAGTTAATTGCTTAAGTGCACAAGTCGTGTATATAAACCGGAATGCGGTTTCAACCTCGACTATCTGCTATTAAATACATACAACGGTCTCGGTTACGCAGTGGCAAACTCGAGCAAGATGCGCATCGCGGAGCTCCTGGCGCTGGCCGCCATCGCTTCCACGAGCCTCGCCGCCGCCGACGAGGTCTGCAGCCTCATTCGGGCCAAGTCGCTCTCCTTCTGCTCCATGGTACGCGGTCTCTTGGTGCATCGGCAGCTGCAATCCATCCCACTCAGGTCGACTACGTGGCCGTCACTGGCGCCGACGACCCAACAGGCGCCGCCGCCGACGCTGACGCCGCCACCTACTATGCCAGCGTCGAAAAGGTCTGCGATACAAGCGCGCGATGGCACGTCGTATGTACTCGGTCGGTAGATCCTCGACCGGTTTGGCTGCAGCACCAAGTACAGTCTGTACAACTGCGACGACTGCCAGGATGCATACAAGTACTGGGTCTGCGCCGTGCAGTTCCAGCGCTGCGGCGGCAGCGGCCAGTCGGCGACAGCCATTTGCCCAAGCGTCGCCAACGGCTGCGACCCATTCCGCACGCGGGTATTGGAAACCTCTCGCCTCGTACAGGGGGCCATGGCCGGCTAGACCTGCCTCTCGATCTGCGAAGACGTGATCCGAAAGTGCCCCTATGTGCTCAATTTTGCCTGCCCGGCCGAGGACACGGAGTACTTCTCGTCCGACTTGGTCAACTGCAACCGATTGGTACCTGTCCGGTTCTACCAAGTACACAATATTGTCTTATGCCTTAAACCTGTAGGACCGGACGCAACACCCCGACAATCCGGCGCTTGGATGGCCCGGCACGTTCGCTTCGAGCTAGGACAACTCTATCTCGACATAAAGCACGACGGGTGTCTTAAATAAGGGGTGGAGCACTAGCACGCTACGACGTTGGCTGCGATCGCCATGCACTCTTGGTAGAGCACGAAGAGGACATGCAAGCTCTGCTTGAGCTGGCCCGGGTAGACTGGAATGTCGAGGAGCCCGCAGATGACGCGGATCCGGTCTTCAAGCGACACGTGCAGCTCGGCCGTGGAAAAGTTGGTCAAATAAGGCTCGACTTCGGGCGGCCAGAGCTCAAGTAGGGTGTCGATCGATGGCATCGGCTTGGTGTACACGACGTGCGGCGGCGGCTGCGACGTATGCACGACGGCGACGCTCGCCATCCACGCCGAAATGCGCTCGGGTACCAAGTGGGCGTCCTCGATCGCATGCACTGGCATCTCGATCGCGCGGCGGGAGTCGCCCAATGAGGTCTTGGCGTCAGCTTGCAGCAGCAGCTGGAGCTCTACACACATGCCTTACGTCGTCCGATCGCGACGGTAGACGAGATACTACCAGCGGGGTTGGACTGCGTCGCACTGGGCTCGGCGAGAAGATGCACACCGAGCTCGATCGGCGCGGGCGGGTCCAGAAGGAGTACGTCCGGTCGAAGCAGACTGGTCGTGTCGAAGGGGAACCCAATGCTCGGCAAATACGCAGGCACAAACGGCTCGAGGTACAGTGGCAAGTCGATCACATCCGGTCGGAAGACGTCG